TAAAGACACTTATTTCTCATGATTTCACAGTTTTTTTGTATATAGTGTTTTCTTTCCTCAGTCCTGGGGATAAAATGATAGGGATTTATTATTGTCACTTTGTGGCTGTTAAATTATTTTGTCTGATGATGATTCTGATTGAAGACCATTTATTTGACTCTTTAAACTTAGGAAGTACTTTATAACAATTTTATTAGTTATTTTTATGCATTAAATTGACTTGAAGTCTTTGCAATACATGTCTGCTTGACCACTTTTAGGTAATTAAAATGATCACTTCTAGTTAATGTTTGACTTCTCTCGAAGTTGAATCGTTCTTTAAGTGTCCGTAAGGGGCTGTTGTTGAAGAGGACGCAGTGAATAAAATATATGAGATTAATGTGATAGTATTTTAGGTGTCCACTTGAGAAGAATTTTAAGCTCTCACACACTGCTGATTGTTGGCAAGGGCTAGTTATATGATGAAGGGGTATAGTGTTTGGAAACAATGGTGTGGCACTCTCTCTTATGTTAATATTCTGCCGTAGGTCACCATATCTATAGTTATGACCATTATCCATACAACATGAGTTACTTTCAGTTTTAACACCTCTGGCATCGTGGCCACACACATGGCTCACACATTTGTCATCTGCCTTCTCACACACCAAGTAACTTTATGTTCATTTCAGGTCATTTTCTTATGGGACTAGTATAGTTTGGGTGTTCTGCTTACTCTCAGGGTGCTGTAATCCATGGAGGTTTATAGTATGCACTGCCTGCCTTACCATCTCTTGTGAGGTCCACTTTCTCAGAATCATTTTCCTGGATATTTTATTAAACATATATATACACACACACACATGTATATATACATTTACGTGTGTGTATATATATATATATATTTAGTAAAATATATCTTCAGAACTTTCTCATCTTGCAAAACTGAAACTCTGTGCCTATTATTAAACTAAACTCCCCATTTCCCCCCAACCCCCAGTCCCTGGCAACCACTGTTCTCTATGTATTTTTATGTACATACATACACACACACACACACACACACACACACACACATTATGTATATGAATAATTTTATTTCGCATTTCAGATGAGACCCAGTAGACTTTCAGCTTACGTTTCCAGTGGTCAGTGTAACAGATCGACAAGAACTTTGAATAGTTTAGTTTTTTACCCAT